GCTTGGACTTCCAGTACTGTGTTGAATAAAGATGGTGAAAGTGGACAACCCTGTCTTGTTCCAGTTCTTAAAGGAAACACTTTTATTTTTGCCCATTGAGTATGATGTTGGTTGCAGGTTGTCATATATAGCCTTTATTATGTGAGATATGTTCCCACTATTTCCACTTTGCTGAGATTTTTTATTAAAAATTGGGTGCTGGAGCCCTGGCCCACATGGCTCAGTGGTTAGAACTCTGGCCTGTGCACCAAAGGGTGTTGGGTTCGATTCCTGGTCAAGGGCATGTACCTGGGTTGCAGGTATGATCCCTGCCCCAGGTCAGGGTGTCTGGGGGAGGCAACCAATCAATGTGTTTCACATTGGTGTTTTTCTCCCTCTCTCTCCCCTCTCCATGCCCTTCCACTCTCTCTAAAAATAAAAAAATAAAAAAAAAAGGAAAAAATATCCACAATCATTATGTGAGAATTAGAAAAAAATTGGGTGCTGAATTTTGTTAAATGCTTTTTCTGCATCTATTGATATGATCATGTGATTTTCATCTTTCATTTTATTTATGTGATATATCAGATTTATCGATTTGGGAATATTGTACCAGCCTTGTGTCCCCAGAGTAAATCCCATCTGGGCATGGTGTATGATCTTTCTAATGTATTGCTAGATCTGATTTGCTAATATTTTGTTGAGGATTTTAGCATCTGTGTTCATCAGGGATATTGGCCTGTAATTTTCTTTGTTGTGTTTTCATCTGGTTTTGGAATTAGGATAATGCAGGCCTTGTAAAAACACCTTGCAAGTCTTTCCTTCACTTGAATTTTTTGGAATAGTTTGAGGAGGATATGTGTTAGTTTTTTTTTGAATGTTTGCTAAAACTCACCGGTGAATCCATTTGGTCCAGGACTTTTGTTTGCTGGGAGTTTTTTGATTACTGCTTCAATTTCATTAGTTGTTATTAGCCTATCCAGATTTTCTGATTACTCCTGATTGATTTTTAGAAGATTGTATGTTTCCATGAATTTGTCCATTTCATCCAAGTTGTCCAGTTTGTTGGCATATAGATGTTCTTAGTATTTTCTTACAATCCTTTTTACTTTTCTGTTGTCAGTTCTTACTTTGCCTCTTTCATTTCTGACTTTATTTATTTGGGTCCTCTCTCTTTGTTTCTTGGTAAGTTTTGCTAAAGATTCATCAATCTTGTTTATCTTTTCAAAGAACCAGCTCTTGGTTGCTTTGATCTTTTATATTGTTATTGTTATTTTAGTCTCTATCATTTATTCACACTCTGATCTTTATTATTTCCTTTCTTCTACTTCCTCTGAGCTTTTCTTGTTCTCTTTCTAATTCTTTTAGTTGTAGGGTTCTGTCGTTTATTTGACCTTTTCTTGTTTCTTCAGGTAGGTCTGTAATGTTATGAACTTTTCCTCTCAGGACTGTTTTCGCTGTATCCCATAGATTTGGGGTTGTTGTGTGTTCATTTTCATTTGTTTCCAGAAAATTTTTGATTTCTTCCTTGATTTCATTATTACCTGTTCATTGCTAATAACCTGCTATTTAATCTTCGTGTGTCCTAATGTTTTTGAGTTTTTTTTTTTATTGTAGTTGATGTCTAGTTTCATGCCGTTGTAATCTGAGAAGATGCTTGGTATGATTTCAGTCTTGAACTTGTAAATACTTATTTTGTGTCCTCACATGTAATCTATCTTTGAGAATGTTCCATGTGCACTTGAGAAGAATGTGTATTCTGCAACTTTGGGATGAAATGTTCTGTAAATATCAATTAAATCCATCTGATCTAGTGTGTCATTTAAGGTCGCTGGTTCCTTGTTGATTTTTTGTCTGGAAATTCTATCCAATGATGTCAGTGGAGTGTTTAAGTCTCCTACTCTGACGGTTTTGCTGTCTATCTCTTCCTTCAAGTCTTCCAGGAGTTTTAACAAAAGTATCTTTAGGTGCTCCTATATTGGGTGCATATATGTTTACCAGGGTTATATAGTCTTGTTGGATTGAGACCATTATCATGTAGTAAGCTCCTTTGTCTCTTTTATAGCCTTTGTTTTGAAGTCTATTTTGTCAGGTATAAATATTGCTACCCAGTTTTTTTTTAAATTTCCATTTGTTTGGAAAAAAATTTTCCATTCCTTTACTTTTTTCCTGTGTGAGTCTTTTGTTCTGAGGTAGATTTCTTGTGAACAGGATATATTTGGGTCATGTTTTCTCATCCATTCAGCTACCCTATGTCTTTTGATTGGAGCATTTAATGCATTTACACTTAAGGTTATTATTGATAGGTACTTATTTATTGCCACTTTTATGCTTTATGCCTATGTTCCTCTCTCTTTCTATTTCTTCTTCTTATAACAGTTGCTTTAGCATTTCTTGCAATGCTGATTTGGTTGTAGTAAACTCATTTAGCCTTTTTTTTTTTTTGGTCTGGGAAGCTCATTATTTCACATTCAATTTTGAATGATAGCCTTGATGGACAGAGTAGTCTTGGTTTCAGATCCTTACTTTTCATTACTTTGAATACTTCATGCCTTCCCTTCTGGCCTGTAGTGTTTCTGTTGAGAAATCAGCTGACAGTCTTATGGGAGCTCCCTTGTCGGTAACTATCCATTTCTGTCTTGCTGCCCTTAAGATTCTCTCTTTGTAATTAACATTTGCAGTTTTAATTATGATGTGTCTTGGTGGGTGGCATTTTGTGTTCATCTTGGTTGGGACTTTCTGATCTAGTGTGTCATTTAAGGTCGCTGGTTCCTTGTTGATTTTTTTTCTGCTTAGTCGCTAATTTGATCCTCTGCTTTATCACTTTTAATTCCTTCCAGTGTATCATTTTTTAAAAGTATGTTTTTATTGATTTTTAGAGAGACAGGAAGGGAGAGGGATGGAGAGAGAGAAATATTGATAAGAGAGAAACATCAACAATCCACTGCCTCCTGCACACCCCCTACTGGAGATTGAGCCCACAACCTGGGCATGTGCCCTGACTGGAAATTGAACTGGCGACTTCTTGGTTCATGGGTTGATGCTCAACCACTGAGCCACACTTGCTGGGCTCCAGTGTATTCTTGATGTTAGATATAGTATTCTTCATTTCTGACTGGTTCGTTTTTAAAAAAATATATTTTTATTGATTTCAAAGAGGAAGGGAGAGGGAAAGAGCGATGGAAACATCAGTGATGAGAGAGAATCATTGATTGCTGCCTCCTGTATACCCCCCTTTGGGGATTGAGCCAGTAACCCCGGGCCTATGCCCTGACTGGGAATCGAACTGTGATCTCCTGATTCACAGGTTGACACTCAACTACTTAGCCATGCTGGCCCGGGCCTGACTGGTTCTTATTCTTGGTTTTTATGTTGTTGTTTTTTTCATGCTGATGTAGTTCCCACTAAGTTCCTTGTATTTCTTACTAAGTTCCTTGAACATCCTTATAACCCTTCCTCTGAACTCTGTATCTGTAAATTGCTTTCCTCCATCTCATTTAGGTCTTTTTCTCAAGATTCCTTCTTTTCTTTGGAGGTTATTTCATGTCTCCCCACTTCAGTTGTCTCTTGGTGTTTGTTTCTATGTATTAGCTATATGTGCTATGACTCCCAGTCTTCATGGGGTGGGACCCATTGGTACAGTTTCCTTGAACTTCTGAGCTATATGCTCTAGGAGAGACCCTTTTGTTGATTATTTGGGCCCTCCTGTTGTAATTGGGTCTTGATTGTTTTTGTCCCAATCGTGGGTGGGATCTCCTGTCAGGCTGGTTGACTGTGAGGCTCAACCCCAATGTGTGAGCTGTTATACAGGTGCAGTCTCCAGGTAGTTTTTGTACTTCCTTGTTTAAAAGTCTTCTCCTCAGCAAGTCTTCAGCTGGTAATTCAGGATGAATCCAGACTTCCCTTTCTTACCTTCTTATATGTATCCAGGCTGTACGCAGCAGCTCTAAGCAGTCATCTAACTCAGTGTTTATATTACTATTTATATTGGAAAAAATGAATTCTGTCCCTTCTCATTTCTCACTTTCGAATAAGGTATAGATTTTACTTAACAGTGTGAATCTAGGTTTAAGTAGTTTCAATCACCTTCCTCTCAGATGTATCTGTGTTGATTTTTAAATGTTCAATTTTTCCTTAATATAAAATGTGTTCTGCCATTTTTATTGTTAAGCCAAGATTGCTAGAAACTTCTGAGAAAAAATTAGAAACTTTGTGGTATAAGTTGCTTGTGATTCATTTTATATTTCATTATTTGTTGAGAATCTCAGAAATAATGCTTTCATAAAAATTAACAAGTATTTGCGCAAGTGTTATTTGAATTTCTTGGTTCAGTCATATAATTTTGTTTGCATTTTTGTTTTACATTGTGCTATGGAGCATTAGGTTTTTCTTAAGAGGTTCTGCATAGACAGTGTAAATATATATGTTGCTTTATTTCTTTTTGCTTTATTTCTTTAAGCAGCAATCTATACACCTTAAATGTTCTTACAGCACGCAAAAATTTGTAATTATGTTGAGGTGATAGATGTGTAAACTAACCTTATTGTGGTAATCATTTTGCAGTATGTACGAGTATCAAATCATCACATTGTACACCTTAAACTTACATAATATTACATGTCAATTATATCGCAATAAAGCCGGAAAAAAAAGTAAGCAGCAATCCAAGTTTGGTGATGTAGCCAGCATTGCCCGTGATTCTAAAATGTCCCGCAGATTATTAGCATTTGGTTTGCAGGCAGTAGAAAGTGGTATTTAAGTTATATTGAGGTTTTCTTTAATGTAGATAAAATGAAAGATAAAATATATTTGGACTTGGTATGAAGTGTATTTATAACAGTTCTTTTGTTTATATAGTGGACAGAAAGATTTAAATTCTAGTATTTTTATAGTCTTTGTATTACTAAGTTAAATAACTTTAAACTTTGTTTTTTTTGAAAGATATCTCTGTACTAATTTGTATCAGTTATGTGGGTGCTAGTACAAAGGGATGTATACCATCTTTGTCTGTTTTCTTTTAGGGTAATTCCTCTCCTGCAATTACTTTTGGATGGAAATATGCTTTTTTTCCAGTAGAAGATGGTAAACTTGGAGAATGACCATGGAGAAGGGGATGAGTTCTGGAGAAGGGCTGCCTTCCAGATCATCTCAGGTTTCGGCTGTTAAAATAACAGCCAAAGAGTTGGAAACAAAGCAGTCCCATAAAGAGAAGCGAGGGGGCTTTGTGCTGGTACATGCAGGTAAGCTCTATGTGAGTGAGTCAAAAGATGAAAATAATGTTGATTTTTTTTCTTGCCTTTAAGTACACTGAGAATTGAATTTTACCTTAGGAGAAGGCACAGTACCAGAAAGGAATTGGAACAAAAGAGATTGACTTCGATATAGTGAGGGCCTCCCCTAATTACTCACTTGGGAAGATCTTGAAATGACAGCTCTTCTTATGTCTTCTTTACTCCCCTACCCTATTATTTACTTTCTCTTTCTTCCTTACCTCCCTCCTTCCTTCCTTCCTCCCTCCCTCCCTCTCTCCCTCCCTCCCTCCCTCCCTTCCTTCCTTCCTTCCTTCCTTCCTTCATCTATCTATCTATCTATCTATCTATCTATCTATCTATCTATCTATCTATCCATCCATCCATCCATCCATCCATCCATCCATCCATCCATCATCTATCATCTATCGCAGTGGTTCTCAACCTTCTGGCCCTTTAAATACAGTTCCTCATGTTGTGACCCCCAACTATAAAATTATTTTCGTTGCTACTTCATAACGGTAATGTTGCCACTGTTATGAATTGTAATGTAAATATCTGATATGCAGGATGGTCTTAGGGGACCCCTGTGAAAGGGTCGTTCGACCGCCAAAGGGGTCTCGACCCACAGGTTTAGAACCGCTGATCTAGAGCCTAATATGCAAATTGTCCCCATGGGAGTTTGACTGGGAGACCGGGAGTTTGATTGCTCGCTATGATGTGTGCTGACCACCAGGGGGCGGCGCGGAACAAAGGAAGGCCCCGGCCAGCAGCCGGGGAAGGGAGGTCCAGGCCGGCAGCTGGAAGGAAGGCCCTGGCTGGCATCTGGAAGGCCTCGATCTGCCCTGATCGCTGACCAGGCCTAGGGACCCTACCCGTGCATGAATTTTGTGCACCGGGCCTCTAGTATAAATATATTTAGGTAGTGTTAAAACCAGACAAAGTAATTTTTTATACTCTGGTTTGTAGTTTTAAAAATAATTCTGTTGAAAAAAAATTTTTTGACCCCCATATTTGAGTATGGCCATCTTAGAGTCCATTTACACAGTGTTAGAACTAGTTTGCCTTTTTAATATGATATGTGAGGGATCTTAAAACCAGAGAGATTGAGTGGCTTCAGCCACATGGCTAGTTCCTGCTAAAGCCAGGTTGACAAACCCTTAAATGTGTCCTTAAGTCCTAATCTAGTGTGTTTGGCAATATATCAGCTTATAATCTCTACTTCAGAGGACAACACAGACAGACACTGTGAAATTTAACCCTTGGGTCCCTTATTATTGAAGAGTTTTGAGTTACAGAGCTGTGCACCTCTGCAAGGTCTGTTCAAGTAGGCTTTTTTTCCCCCCCGTAGTCATTTTTTACTTACCTGTATTCAGTTTCTAAAGTTTATGACCTCCCGGAAAGAAGAAGGAATGGCTGGGTCTCCTTTTAACTTTGCTCAGACAGTCATAGAGTATGAGAGCAAGGTTAGCTTTGACCTGGCATTGAGGAGTGGAATTGTTTCTTCTTGTCAAACTGGTGGACTTCTGGGAAGTCTTATAGAATCTAATCCAGAAGAATTAACAAAAAGCAGATATATTTTCATTTTCTTTCAAATGGTTGAGAAAAGATAGGTTAAGTTTGTGTCAATCTTCAGCCTCACACGAGGACCCAGGAGGCTTCGAGATGTAGTTCTTAACCTTCCTTATGCTGTACTCTTATAGGGCTTTGGGGCCTGGGTGGGGATGGGGTGGGGTTGGGGGTTCAGAACTTTGATTAGAAGCCTAATTATCACAACAGTTTAAGGACTCTTGTCTTGGTTTCTTTCTTATTTACTAAACAATTAACCTTTTTAGGGAAACAAATTTCAGGGCCATTCTCTTGAGGAAGTTGCTGGGTGTTTATTAAGAGCCAGGGACCAGCCCTAACCAGTTTGGCTCAGTGGATAGAGCGACGGCCTGCGGACTGAAGGGTCCCGGGTTCGATTCCGGTCAAGGGCATGTACCTTGGTTGCGGGCACATCCCCAGTCAGGGTTGTGCAGGAGACAGCTGATCCATGTTTCTCTCTCATCGATGTTTCTAACTCTCTATCCCTCTCCCTTCCTCTCTGTAAAAAAATCAATAAAATATATTAAAAAAAAAAAAAGAGCCAGGGACCAATAGAATTTCTAATAGGCAGGCAGGAATACACCATCAGTGAGGTTTCAGAGACACCCTGGGCTTAAATTCCAGAGGATGTAAACGTTTGGGTAGGAGTGGTAGTATTGGTGGTGCGTGTGGTAGTATAGGTATGCTGTAACAACCCTCAGCTTCAAATGCTATTTAGAAACTAACTAGTTTTGTAAAGTTACTTTTAAGAATTCTGGATTCCCAAATAGCAGGTGCTTTCTTTTGGTCAACCAAGAAGAACTTGAAGGGACTCTTTTCCCTGACACTACTTGGGTTATCATCTCCGGGCCAAAAAACTCCTGACTTTGGAGACAGGTTTTTCAAAAAGGAGGAGAGGTGACCTTGATGAAACTTCTTTGGGGACCTGAGCTATTTCTGGTGCTTCTCCCGAGAGAATAGTTTTTGAAAAAGAAGATAAGGCATGGTATTAAAAAGGCTTCTGGTGGAGAAAGAAGCGATTAGATTTTTAAAACCACGTACAGTTAAGACAATAGTTTTATTTTTACTAGGAGAGCATCAGTTTGTAAGGACTATTTATATAATACTACAGGCTCAGTGCACAAATTCATGCACAGGTGGGGTTCCTTGGCCTGGCCAGCAATTGGGGCGATTGGGGCCACTGGTGGTTGTCCAGGGAGAGGGGTCGCAGGAGGTTGGTCAGCCGCCCTGATTGGGGCCGATGGGACCGGCTAGCTGGGGGGAGGGACTGTGGGAGGTTTGGCCGGCTTGGGGGAGGGACCATGGGAGGTTGGCTGTGGGAGCACACTGACCACCATGGGGCAGCTCCTGCAGTGAGCGCCTGCCCCCTGGTGGTGAGTGCACGTCATAGTGACCAGTTGTTCCGTTGTTCAATCACTTAGCCATTTATATCCTATATGATAAAGAGGTAATATGCAAATTGACCATCACGCCCTCACACAAGATGGCCACCCCCATGTGGTCACAAGATGGCCGCCACAAGATGGCTGGCAGGGGAGGGCAGTTGTGGGTGATCAGGCCAGCAGGGGAGGGCAGTTAGGGGTGACTAGGCCAGCAGGGGAGGGCAGTTGGGGGCAACTGGGCCTGCAAGGGAGGGCAGTTAGGGGCGACCGGGCTGGCAGGAGAGGGCAGTTGGGGGTGACCGGGCCGGCAGGGCAGGGCAATTGGGGGCAATCGGGCCAGCAGGGGAGCAGTTAGTCATCGATTAGGCTGGCAGGGGAGTGGTTAGGGTGTGATCAGGCTGGTAGGCAGAAGCGGTTAGGGGCAATCAAGCAGGCAGGCAGGTAGACAAGCGGTTGGGAGCCAGCAGTCCCAGATTGTGAGAGAGATATCTGACTGCCGGTTTATGGGATCAGGCCTAAACCGGCAGTCGGATAACCCCGAGGGGTCCCAGATTGGAGAGGGTGCAGGTGGGGCTATGGGACACACCCCCCCTCAGTGCACGAATTTCGTGCACCTGGCCTCTAGTATATAGATAAGCAAAGTCTGTGACATTTTAATGAATACTAATAATTGGTTGGTTTGTTTCACTACAGGTGCAGGTTATCATTCGGAATCCAAAGCCAAGGAATATAAACATGTATGCAAACGAGCTTGTCAGAAGGTATAATAAAAATTTCCGTTTTGACTATAGAGGAGCTTTACTTTGAAATTCAAAATTTTAAGGGTTGTTGTATAAAATCATCCTTGGTTTGAACCATCAAATAATTTAGCTCATATTTGTGAGGTCTTTGTTTTATTTTGTGTTGTTTTATTCTCCAAATCATGCTTAGAACTTTCCTTCCTTTCCCAGATTAAAATCTGTATTTTTGGAATTATGGGCCCTTAATCATATATCTTTTAGTCTTTGCCAAGCCGTTGAGCTCTATAGAAACAGCTCAAAGGCAGCCAATGTGTCTTTCTGTGAAGGTAAAAAAATACTAACAAATGAAAATGGATGCTTTTCTTAGGGAGATCATCCCTTACATTTTCCTTCTGTTTTTCATCATGTAGTTTGTATCATGGAAGTTCATTATCATTCCTGAGTTAGCTTTGCCCTTGTACTGAGTTGTGTTTTTTTTCTCTTTGGTTTTTGAGGTTTTGCTAAATTGTTGAATACTTAATGTGGAATCAGGAATGGAATCAGAAGAAATATTGTTTGTTTTTATTTTGATCCTGACTAAATACTCTTATAGGGAAACCCTTCATTTACTTCTACTTAAATAGAATGTTAATTGCGTATTGTATATCAAGTGAATGAATCTTTCAACCCTTTTTATTTCTATTTACATACCATTTAAAAGAAAGATTATACTTTGTTAGAGATCCAGGCTTTCTGTTACGAATGAAATCCCATAAATAAATAAGAATATTTTCTTATAGAGATATTTTTTAAAATTTATAATAAAGCGAAAAGTTCTCAAAGTGCTTTTATATTTTTTGTCCTTTATTTTCAGAGTGTGAAATCTTTTCATTATCTAAAAAGAAATGTTTTTCTTATGTAGAACAACTATAGTCCTAGAAACTTAATACATTAGGAGTATATACTCAGCCTCCTCAATTTATACAATGAAACAACTTCTTAAAAGTTTAATGCAATTCTGACAGATCAATGATTTTCTCTCATCCTTGATGTTCTTTCTCTCTCTTCTTCTCTGAAATTAATAAAAAATGTATTAAAAGTTTAATCCAGTTCTGTTTGAGCTTTCTCTTTATAGACTAACTTGGAGCTTTAATAGTTCATTTAGCAATCAGTCTTCCTTATCTTTCTTGCCTCTCTTAACTTATATTCAATAAGCAAGGAAGCAAGGTGATTTTATAGACCTTTACTCTGTGTAATTTATATTACAAAAGAATATGATTTGTGCCTGGCCAGTGTGGCTCAGTGGTTGAGTGTTGACCTATGAACCAGGAGGTCACGGTTTGATTCCTGAGCAGGGCACATGCTCGGGTTGTTGGAGGTGTGGAGGAGGCAGCCAATCAATGATTCGCTCTCATCATTAATGTTCCTATCTCTCTCTCCCTCTCCCTTCCTCTCTGAAATCAATAAAAATATATTAAAACAAAACAAACGCCAATTTTGTTTCCCTTGTCGGAGGAGATATATGAGAAAAAATATTGCTGTGAGAAATGTCTGATATTTTACTGCCTATGTTTTCGAGAAGTTGTGGTTTTACAATGAAAAATCTCTCCCCTTGGTTTCATAGGCAATTGAAAAGCTACAGGCTGGTGCTCTTGCAACAGATGCAGTGACTGCAGCTCTGGTGGAACTTGAGGTATTTCTTTTCTTTACATTTTATTTAAAATATTTGTGAGTATGTTTGTTATTCTTAAATGACATGAAACTGCTGAGTTAGTCAACCATCAATTATATGACCAGTGTTTACCAACAATATTAACTAAGTTGTGAAGAAGCCTGTGATATTGTTAGATTGTTTTTATTAGGGATTTCTCTGAGTAATATAAGAAAGTTAGTTAAGTTCCTTTTTCCCGTTTTGTGATATTCATGGATATAAAAGTCACTAGTTACTTAATATTACTGGATACTTACATATCCTCCATTTTAGTAGGAAAATTCCTGAAGTTAACTCCCCTAAAAGTAATATGTTTAAAAAACAAAAATTTCCAACTATTTATAAGTGTCTTAAGTGGAAGGGAAAATTTCCTTACCAACCTAATGGTTCAGTATATATTCTGAAGCTATGCTCTGTGAAGCATGTCTTGTCCAGCGTGGTTGTTAGGTTGGTTTCCAGTTACTGGAGACATTTAGGAATTCAGTGGGGAGGTGCTCAAGTTTGCTCTAATTCTTTGTACTCCAGATTGAGGGTCTCTCAGCTCTCTTAGTGTGGAACTGTGACTATGAGTTTGTCCAGGGGATGTTGAGGCCTTCAGAAGACCAACTTCTGCCACTCATACTTAGAGAAGATAGATTTATGTTAGTTAGTTTAGAGCGGTGATGGCGAACCTTTTGAGCTCGGCGTGTCAGCATTTTGAAAAACCCTAACTTAACTCTGGTGCTGTGTCACATATAGAAATTTTTTGATATTTGCAACCATAGTAAAACAAAGACTTATATTTTTGATATTTATTTTATATATTTAAATGCCATTTAACAAAGAAAAATCAACCAAAAAATGAGTTCGCGTGTCACCTCTGACACGTGTCATAGGTTTGCCATCACTGGTTTAGAGGAGTAGAATAAATAAATAGTTTGTTGGTTGAGAAGACTACTTGGGGAATCAAATAAGATAGGAAGATAAAATAGTGGTGAGTTTGAGGGAGAAGGGATGGTTAGAGTAGATCTTCCCAAGTTGACTAGATTGTGGCCCTTGTGTTTAGGCTCTCATATCAGGACACCTACCCTGTCATGCCAGGCCCTGCTTTTCCCTGTGAAAATTGCCCAGTGCCTAAAGTCATAGCACTGTTTTCTGTATATTCCCTGAGCTGCACTTTTGATCATGCTTTATACATTTTAATTTCTCCTGTTAATACTTTCAGCTTGGTTTTAGCCAAGGAAGGTAAACAAACATGGTGGGCACCAGTTCTATTATAGTTTGGTCCCAGAGGCATCTGACTTGGGGATATGTGGTCCTTTCCTATTGTGACTGATACCAGTTCTACTAATTATTAGCCATATGTCTGTGGGAACCTCACACCTCTCTTTGATCCAGTTTTTTCATTATAATATGGGGATAATAATGCTTGCTTTACAGAGCTGTGAAGATTAACTGAATTAATATGACAATGTGTGGTACATAGTAAGCAGTTCATAACTGTTAGCAATTACTACTATTAAGAGGTGTTTTAGAAATGATATATATGATGTGAATATTTATAGTAACTATTAATAACAAGTTTTATAATGTCAAAGAAAGGTTAATTATATATTGTGGATAAGAGGAGAAAAGAAATGCAAGAAAGAAGATTGATGTATACTTATACCAAATCTTACCTTTACTCAACACATCCACACAAGGAAAGCTTCATCTAATTTAATTCAGTTGTTAATTGCAAATTACTCTCCTTTGTGCAGAAGATGATGTTCTGAGATTATCGGAGATTACTGGTGTATGGAGTCACTGTGGGTCTGGGGAATGAAGGTTAATGAATAGCTAAAGGATATACTATAATGGCAACTATGAATACAAAATTGAGTAAAATTAAGTTTTCCTTTTTCTTTTCATTTTAGAATAACTTTTATTTCTCCAAGTCATATTTATATCATATTGACTATTTCATTACATTCCTCCCCAGTGAAGTATCAATCATTTCTTAAAAATTTACTTATTTATACTTAAAATGATTTAAATTATATTTGGAATAATGTGTTACACATAAGTAAGTGAACTTTATAATTCTGAATGATGATCTGTGTTTTTTAAGAGTGTGGGCATGTGAAGTTTTTTTTAAACATGTTTTATTATTTTTGATTGTTATAGAATACTGTTCTAAGTGAGATTAGTGTACTTTCCCCCATTAATTTATTAAATTTGGGGAAGACTTTCAGTGAATTATCTTTATTTTTATTTATTTATTTTTTCAGTGAATTATCTTTAAAAATCATTCTTATGTGGAATCTGATTAAAATGTATATTAGTAGCTTAAAGGCTAAGGCTAACCTGGAAGAATCTTTCTGAATCTTAAAAATTACGTTGGGCCTGGCTGGCATGGCTCAGTGGTTGATTGTCGACCTATGAACCAGGAGGTCATGGTTTGGGGTGCATGCCTGGGTTGTGGCTAGATCCCAGCGGGAGGTGGGGGGGGGCATGCAGGAGGCAGCCGATTAATGATTCTCTCTCATCATTGATGTTTCTATCTCTCTTTCCCTCTCTCTTCCTCTCTGAAATCAATAAAAATATATTAAAAAAAGAATTATGTTGGAAGTCATGTTATAGTGTCTCCTACAGTTTCAGTCACCTTGCATAATTGTGATTCGTAACCTTTAAACAGGGTGAGGTTTTCTTTCGTTCTTTTTTTAAAATTATTTATTGCTGAGAGAGAGAGCGAGAGAGAGAGAGAGAGAGAGAGAGAGAGAGAGAGAGAGAAAGAAAGATTGATTTGTTCTCCCACTTATGTATGCAGGCATTGATTGATTCTTATCTATGTCCCCACTGGGATGGAATTTGCAACCTGGATATATCGGCGACAACACTCTTAACAAACTGAGCTACTTGGCCAAGGCTAGGTAGAGTGAGGTTTCAAATAAAGAGCTGAAGTATTGTATAGTTTGGGTCAATGGGAAGACATATGAAAATTAGATTCTAATATTTTCTGTACTTCGAGAATGTAAGCAACAATATTGAGTCCTTTCACTCTACTGAAAAGTCCCAGAGGCTGATTTATACTGTTATGTTTATTGGACATAATTACTTATCTTTAGTTTTGATCAATCTATTCAGTAGAGTTTTAATTCGATCTTTTAAGTCTTGTCCTACTTATTGACTAGATATGGACAGTCATACCGTTTCTTTTGGACTTCGGGATATACTTTTTGACTAAAACAAAACTGTACTTTTAAAACTTGCCTGTTACATTATTACTTAGGCAGATAATGAAAATCAATTTGAATTTCTTGAACACTTTACTGATAATAAATTGATAAGACTGAAATGCTTTATTGTTCCATGTTGGCTAGAAGGGGTTTCTGGCTTTGTATTTTGAAAAATATGAAAATTTGCAGTTAACCCAAGTAGTATAAAGTTCTCTGATCTCAATTCGACATCATACAGGAGGAAGAGACCAAGTGAAAGAAAAGAAAGTTTATATATGTATGTATGATATACAACCAAAAAATGATGTGGCTAAGTGACCTACATTTAATATAGTCCATCTAGAGTCATCATTGTTCAGCTTTTCTTGGAACCTATTACCTTGTGTAGTTACCTATATCTCATCTACCAGTACAGACAAGTGGTGTTTTCCTAAGATTACCATTCTGAGCACTAGATTCGGTGTTTCTTACATTTAAATAAGGGAGGAAGGTTGAGCTCATAAGTTCCTACCTATTAAACTGATTAGCTTCTCTCTTCAGGGTTTTGGGAGGGAAGTGGCCACTCCGTAGGAGAGGTGTTTTGTAGTGTGAAAGTGAAAATGATATGACACCAGTACAATTTGTTTATCTTCAAAATATGGGGAAGGAAATAGATCAGTTTTTAGATCATGTTTTAATAATTTATTATTAAATTTATTTGGTCCCATTGTTTCATTTAGCTATATATAGCTTTTTTGAGATTATCTTTATAACTAATGGTGACTTATATCCATTGGATAGTACAACTCTGATTTCACTCACACTAGAGAAGATAAATATTGTGAAACAATTTGATCTTTATAGCTAGGGCTATGCATTTGGAAGATAGTTGCTTTCATGGCTGCTTTTGCAATAGTTTTGGTTCAGGTAATGACAGTGAATTTTAAATTCTAAAGATAATTTTGCACATTTTACATGCACATTTTAAATTCTGATATGAATTTTTTCTTTGAGAAAATTAGATATAGATCTGGGTGGGTCATGATGCCACTTCTAAAGTAGGAAGTGTTTTATAGATTGGGATAGAAAATGAGCTAGAACTCATAAAATAATTACGGAAGCTCCCTTTGCAAATCGATTTTAAAAAAAATATACTTTTATTGATTTCAGAGAGGAAGGGAGAGGGAGAGAGAGAAACATCCTATATAATAAAAGCATAGTATGCAAATTGTGGTGGCAGCAGGCGGCCAGGGGAAGGGAGGGAGTACCCAGCCAGCAGCCGGCAGCCGGCAGCCGCTGGGGACCCTACCAGTGCACGAATTTCACTCACTGGGCCTCAATGATGAGAGAGAATCATTGATCAGCTGCCTCCTGCATGCTTCCTACTGGGGTTTGAGCCCACAACCCGGGTATGTGCCCTTGACTGAAATCGAGCCCAGGACCCTTCAGTCTGTAGACTGATGCTCTATCCATTGATCCAAACCAGCCAGGGCTTGATTTTTTTTTTTTTAAATACTAAGGCCTGGTTATAAAATTCTAATAAGAAATAATAGATGAAATTTGAGTGACAAACCTTTGAGAAATTATTTGTAGTTGTGTGTGAGAAAACTGATGAAAGTGAGATTTTGAAACTCTTGATGTAGCTAGCCTTTGAGAGATTTTGGTTAATTCATTTTAAAATCTGGTTATTTTGGTAGGTGGAATACTCTGCGTTAAAAGTAGTGATGGGTATAGCTTTTACATTTCATATAGTGAAAGACAAATTGTATAGGCTCCTTTATTAAAAATATTTTGTTGAGTTTATGT